GACCAATGCGATGAAGCGAAAAAAAGAAAAGAACTGAGGGATGTTAAAGGCGCCACTAAATGCCTTGCTTGTACTAACAAAGGGTTTCCCTCCCAACCCTTATCATTTACTGTTGTTGTTTTTGTTATTACTTTTTATTTTTATTCCTTCTGGTTTTTTGCTTTAATGGACGTGAATGTACGGGTACAAAAGTCTATATAAATGTCCTACACAGGTATATCTAGACGAACATGTATGGGCAGGGCGGTGTTCTGCTCTTCTCACGGGCGTGGCCTGCCGTTTTTTTTCCGTTTTGCTTTTGTGTTTTTTTTTCCACTTTTTTTTGTTTTGACGACGTTGACCTTCCGTGATGCGTGGCTCCACCGACCTGTTCCACATGTGTGCTGCTTAGTGTTGATTGCCTTCTTTTTCGTATTCCCCTTTAGTATCGGCCGGTTTCAGTGGGGGAGTTTTCTTCGTTTGCAGCGCCACCGTCTCGCCCTCCCCCACCCTCGGACAGAGACAGACGTACAGACAGAGTTGTATTGGACAGAGTGCGGGGCCAAGAACAGAGTGGAAGGGTGAGCATGCGTGCGAGAGGGAGCGGGGTGGAGAGAGAGAGAGAGAGAGTTGAGTGTATACATGAGGAAACGCAAATGATTCTGTGGGAATGAAACGGGGTGCGTGTGTGTGTAGGAGGGGGCTAACCACTCTTTTTTTTTTTTCTCTGCTTCCCCGTCACTGCCGCACAAGCACACAATCGTGAAGTTTAATTTATCGTTTCTTTTCTCTTGCGTGTCTGTGTGAGAAAGAAGGAGGAAGAGTGATTTATCGTCTTCCCACTTCCCGTTGATCTCCTCTTCCTCTTCCTCTTCCTCCTCCTCGCCACTCGGATCGTTGTCGTCATTGCTTGGGTGGTTGGGGGCGTTATACTTTTCTGTTGCTGTTATTTATTTCTTCTTTTTTTTTCGTCGAGCCTCTTTTGCTTTGCGGTGAGGTGTGCTGCGGGGCGGTGCGGCCGCGTCCGAGCCTCTTCGCCCCTCCCGCAATGCGCCCCTCGCGGTGTCTGCCGCACAATGCATGCACGCGGTTGTTGTACTTCGCCTATGCACTGCGGACGCTCGCTGTGTGGGGCCACGGCGGTTTTGTGCCCAACACCTCAAACCCGCCGAGTCGCTTCACGGACGCCGTGCCCCTCTTCTTCATACGGGCGGGGCGGCGGCGCCTCTTCCACACACCACGATGTTTGCACACACTTATTTTCTCCACGCTTGTTGCGTGCTCACGATGCTAATTGCCTCACACGCCCACTTGGGCTCCCTCGGCTTTCGTTTTGTTTTTGTTTGTTTTATTTTCCCCTTTCCTTCTTTGCGAGGAGACAACTAACAGAGAGGATGAATCCTCCTCCAGGAACGCGTGCGGTGCTTCGGTACATATATATATATGTATATGTTTTCCCCCATTCATGTTGTTTTAGTTTTAGTTTTAGTTTTTTGTTTGTTATTTCTTCTTTCTTCGCATGCAACAAGTTTGTCTGTTTGTGTGTTTGGTTTTTAACTGCGTTTCTGTGCCCGCTGTTTCTGCCTCCTCTGCGACCCCGCCCCTCCCCCGCTCCCTTCCCTTCCCTCCCCTACTCCTCCATCTTTTTTTTTTTGTTTTCTCTGCCGCCCCCGCCTCCTCCCGCGCGGGCGGCGTGAGGGGCTGCCTCGGCCAACGGACGCGGGGGCCGCGTCAATCGCCCCACCGAAAGAGAGGGCCCTCTCAAGCAAAACGAGGAACTGAAGAAAAAGGCAAGGAAAAGGAGGAAGAGTGAAGCGACAGGGAGGCAACTACAGGAGCGATATATCTTGACGTGTAGGCGAAGCGCACATACCGACGCCGCAGCGCGCTTCCAATGCTCTCACTTATAATGGGAGTAGACTCCTTGGAGCTCCTGCGCCAGGATGGCAGCACAGTGGACGCCGCCACTGCCCTCAAAGGGAAGAAGTATTTGCTGCTATACTTCTCCGCCAGTTGGTGCCCTCCGTGCCGACTGTTTACCCGACAGCTGGCGGAGTTTTACGAGTCATTTCATGAGAGTCACGGTTTCGAGGTCATCTTTCTTTCACGCGACCGTGGCGAGGGCCCCATGCGGGCGTACTTCTACAACCAAAAGTACAGTCGCCTGGCGCTTCGTGGCGGGGAGGGTTCGCACGGTGACTGGCTCGCGGTACCGTATGCGCGGGCAAATGCGATTGGGCCGGCACTGATGCAGAGGTATGCGGTCCAGGGCATCCCGACGTTGCTCCTGTTTGACCTGGAGACCGCTGAGCTCTTGACACGGAACGCACGCAACTTAGTGGCGCGTAACTTGGATACAGCCGAGGGGTTTCCATGGGCTGGCGATGCAGACACGGAGCTCATGAAGGGGCTTTCTTGGTATCAGTTAATTCTGATGTTCATTATGCTGATGGTGCTGTATTACCTGTCGCGGTGATGTGCGCTCAGAGCTGCAACTCCATGTATCGACCGTATTTGGTTTCACTCTGGTTGCTGCTGTTTTTTTTCCCCGTTTTTTTTATGCTCACTTGATACGATCTCCCGTTATATCCCCATTGCCGTTTTTTTTTGGATCTTGTGATGTTTCTTGATATTTCTTACCAGCGATGCCGCGGTGGGGGGCCAGTGTGTGCGCGTGTGTGTGTGCGCACTTTCTTGCCCTCCCCAACCCGTCACTAATGCTACCACTGCCACCGCTGCTCGCCTCACGGAGGGAGTCTGGCGGTTGCGCGGCCTCGAAAGCTGCCGCCCCCTTGAGTCCACCACAAGGGCCCAGTTGCCGTCGTGTTGTGTGCCTGCCTGAATTCGCTTCCTCACTGCCGGGCGTGTGTGTGGGAGGAATCTGCGCTTCAGTTGGGGCGTTGGGGGGGATCTTGGGCGCAGTGGGCACAAGTTGCTCTCTCCCCTCCATTGCTTTCCCTGTTGTTTAGAGAAATACTTGGGACAAAGCCTTGACCAGGCGCACATAAAGTTCGAGTGAGAGCCACCCACGAGTATGACCAGCTTGACGCTCAAGCACTACT